GAAGACTGTAGAAGAATCGATGCATTTGAATTATAGTGTGGGATAATAGTGAAAGCACCATGGACGGCCAGAAAAGCAAATAATCAGTCTTAGAAGAAGTACAGACAGGCTGTTCCAATCCATAGTGACCCTGTATAGGGTTTCCGAGGAGCAGCTGATGAGCTTGAACCGCTGTCCTTGCAGTTCAAATAAATGGCTTTGCACTCTGGTGCTTTGACTCACAGCACCACACCAGGACTCCATATATTGTATGTATATATATGTGTGTGTGTGTATATGTGTATATATGTGTGTGTGTATATGTGTGTGTGTATATATATATGTGTGTATATGTGTATATATATATATACACACACGCACGTATATATATGTATACATGTATATTTCCCACTGCTCCTCCCATACCCATTCAGCTAGTGTCTCTGTCCATTTATTTACACACACGCACGCACATATATGTATACATGTATATTTCCCACTGCTCCTCCCATACCCATTCAGCTAGTGTCTCTGTCCATTTATTTACACACAGAACAATACTGTTCCTTCTTGTATATTGCCCTCCCTCTTCTTGTATATTGCACTCCCTGTCACCCAAGTTAACCCTCTAGATATTGAATTACTTTCCTTTCCCTCCCACCCCTGGTCACCATCAAAAAATATTTATTTTAGTTGTTCTTTAATGTTGCATAGTATTCCATTGTGAATATACCAAAGTTTGTTTATCCATTCTTCCATTGATGGGCACTTAGGCTGTCTCCATCTTTCTGTAATGAAAAATCGGTGTGCCTATATCTACTCGTGTCCTGGCTCTTACATCTTATGGATATATACCAAGCAGAGGAACTGCTGCGTCATACGATATTTCTATTTCGAACTTTCTAAGGAAGCATCATGCTGTTTTCCAGGAATTAAACAATTTTACAGTCCCATCAGCAATGTAGGAAGGTTCCAATCTCTCCACTCCCTGGTTAGCATTTGTTGTTTTCTGTTTTTTTGAACTTTGCTATTAATGCTGTTGTGAGATATCACCTCATTGCTGTTGTGATTTGCATCTCTCTAGTAGGAGTCCTGGTGTGGCGCTGTGGGCTAATGCGTCAAGACTGCAAAGCCGTTTGAACTGCAAGGTTGGCTCCTTGGAAACCCTAAATAGGGTCGCTATGGGTCGGAATCGACTCGATGGCACTTAACAACAACAGTAGTTATAGAGTCGCTATGGGTCGGAACTGACTCGACAGCACTTAGCCACAGCAATAACAGTTAATGACCATGAACATTTCTTCATATGGTTGTTGGCTGCCTGAATGTCTTCCTGGTGAAGTGTCTGTTTATGTTCTGTGTCCATTTTTGAATTGGGTTGCTTGTCTTTTTCTTATAGAGGTAGTGTAGTTTTTATAAATTTTAGAGATTAGTTCCTTGTCTAATATGCTATTGCAAAAAATATTTCCCACTTTGTTGGCTCCCTTTTTACTCTTTTGGGGAAATCTTTTTTTTTTTTTTTTTAAGTTTTTATTGTGCATTGAGTGAAAGTTTACAGGGCAGGTCATCAGTTTTACATTCAACAAATCATACAACTTGTTTCATCACAATGATTACATTTCCCTCCATGTACCATCAATTAACAGTATTTCTCTCTATTCATTTGAGCTCTTTTTTTTTAAAAAAACAAAAAACACTCAGACATATATAATAATTTATACCGCCAAAGGGCACATTCTGCAAGCCTGCCTCATGGCCACATCTCTTAGTCCCTCTCTTGCCATGAATCTAGAGTCCTCAGCTGCTCCCTCTCTCCATGTCCCCATCTCTGCCTCCATCTCTGGTGTCCCTCTTTCTCTGGATAAGGAACGGCATTCCACTTGTGCTCTTCTCCCTTGATGGTCCCAGGATCCTTTGTTTCTGAACTGAAAGATTAATTGCTCCCCCATTTTTTGTTACAAAACTTCTACCTTTACAATTGTGACCGTCTCAATTAGTCATGATAACAATTGTTGTTGTTGTTGTCAGGTGCCATC